TATTTTTCTTATTTTCATATCCAGACTAGTAATTTTAAAATACCATTATTATAGAAACTATTGAGAATTTTTCTCAATCAAATAGAAATGCAAGCAATTAGAAATGTTATTTCTTAGGTCATTTTTTCTTTGAGTTTCCAAATTCGTCGACGAGTTTGCGATAAAAATCGATCGATCTTTAAAGAGATGATCACATTCGATAAATCATTTGCGATGACAAAGAATAAATTTTTTATCAATTTCGCAAGGTTACGATTTGAAACGCATTCGCAATTGGGAAAAATCTAAGTTGTCCGTATTATAAAGCGTGTCTCTCTACTTCCCGACTACTATTTGAACTTTTAAAAAGCACAGTATCTCGTGGTAAGGCACTATTCGTTTATTCGTTACATTCTAACGGGCTTAAAGTGTACCCCTAGAATGTAGGACACGGCAGGAATCGTCGAAATTCATTTATAGATTTATAAATTCAAAATCTTTTCTCTCTTGTTCTTTTTACTCAAAGTTCAGTCCATTTAGTGTATATTGTTAATTTCGAATGAAAAGGAGACAAGATCAATGAATTTGGAAAGAGGAAAGATACGTATGAACCGAAGGTTTCCTCTTACTTTTCTTTCTTTTCCAAAAATACAGAAATATCGTAATACCGATGCCGATGAAGCGCTTACAGTACTTATCTGTAATAGTAGTATTTACGGATACGCGTGATAACCGCTAATTGTCTCTCGTTCTAAACACTAATTAAATGTAAACAGTGAACGGCTATACAAAGGCACTATGTGTCACAGACGTAGGGTCCTTATAGGGAAATCAGCTGCCTTCATTCATTCATTTGCGCAATTTTATCTTTGATTCGACATTCCATTTTACCTCCATCTACGAATATTTCCCGTGAAACTCCCCCCCCCCCTCCTCTCCCTCGGCAACCTCATTCTATTTTATTGTCACGTATTTTTTTTTCTCTTCGCACGAAGAAATTTTGAAATCAAATTCTGATCTTAATGATAAACCGTCAATTAAGTAAGACTCGAAGGCATCTAATCTCGCTAACGAGGAACTATCGTATTGCATGTTGTGTGTCTATGGTTTAAAGATTATTTAAACCTAGCCCATAGACACGTGGAGTGGTCGGTCGGCCGATAGCAGTTATGAATTAGTAAACGCTAGCAAACGGCTCTAATCGTCGTTCGATCGTTAACATTAATGTTATTACTCTCTCGTTATTACTACTACTAGATAATAGCACGTCGCGTCGCCCGAGAGAAACGGTAACTCGTCGAACAAGTGGCCGGCTCTTTTATTGGCGAAAGCCAATCGTTCCGTTTGAGATAAATCTCACAACGAATAGGCGTAAGAATAAATTATTCTTAATCAAAAAGCTCAGTCTTGCTTGACGCGCTTCAGAAAAACAGTCATTTGCCGATGTAACAATCTCTCTCATTACGCGCGCGTGAAATATTAAAATTGATAGTAATCTGTATTACATACAGATTAACTTTTGTGTTAAAGAAAACATCGGATGAAAAATGTGTTAAAAAATTATTAGTAAAATATATAATTTGGAAATAAAAAAGTACACACACACACACACACACATACACACGCGCGCGCGCGCATGCACGCACCACGCACGCACGCACGCACGCACACACACACACACACACACACACGCGCGCGCGCGCGCATATATATATTTGAATATTATTTTTAGACAAAAATAGTTCGCATTGATAATCACTGAAAATCAAGTAAATAAAAAATAATATATCAAGATTAAATGAATAAAAGATCAAAAAAAGCGGATTGTAAAAAAAAGATAAACTAGCGAAGCGCGAAAGGATATGAAGGAAAAAGAAAGCAAAACGAAGAGGTAGAGTGAAGAAGACAATCCATACATTAGATGAATCTATGTTTTCTATGTTTCAGTCGAAATGCAAAAACGTTCCACGCAGTTTACGAATGTACACAACAAATGTATTTAGTCTTTCTTATTTGAAAAAAAATCTTCATCGAAGATGTATATTACATTATTCACATCCGAACCTCCTTTTCTACTTAGATCAGTATAGACTCGTGCTTTCGATCATTTTTTACGACGCTACAAAAATTCACGAAAAATTATCAAGAAACCCGAAAGATTTCTCCGCACTTTATATTATATATTATATACAGATACAATCTATAAGTAACACTTTTGTATCTACAGAAATATTTCGAAAAAAACGAAAGGTAGAGCAGTATGCAGAATGTCAATGAGATTGACAACAGTACAAAAAACATAATTATAATAATAGCGTTCTATTAAAAATCATCCAAACAGACAGAAACGAAACTTCGCAAAATTTTAATTCACATGAGAGATAAAAGATTCGATAAAAAAAGAATATGATGAAGAATACCATGAAATAAACTTATTTTCTTGCTTCTTTTTTCGATAATAATTCATTAAATAAATTTATTAAAGCGAGTTTGCTATTGGACTTTCTGTAAGCGTAGATGTTTTTTTTCTTCTTCAAAGTTTTTTTCAGGAGGAGAAATTTATATTATACGATTTTTTTTTCGCATTTTCGCGATCTTTTCTCTCTCGAAATTCTCGAGACAAAGGAGAAATCGTTCTCGCATTTATTGCGACGAGGCATGTCGCAGGGGAAGAAGATGCCCGAATGTCCCCGCAGCGATATTTACGTCGTAGGACTGTCCTATCATTAATTTTAGAGTGCGCCTTCGCAAATTCCTTTTTGTTCTTAACATACGACGACCGCGACGGCTCTTTTGGATGCTTGAGCGCGACAAAAGCACAAAGAGGTACAAATATGAATCGTTACGTATTTTGTATGCGTACGCATAATATACGCTACGGCGTAGATCTGCGAATCGAACACGAATTACGAATTCATTAAACCGACTTCTCGCATCATATTACATTTTTCGTTAATTAATTAGTTCTTTTTTTATTTCTAAATTATTCTTATCGTATTTATACTGGTCGTCTTTTTTCGAATTATTGCAAATATAACATTATCATAATACAAATATAAGGACACGGACGTCGCTGACAAATATTAGTACCTCAAGCTCAAGACAGTAAGCTTAAATTATTTGTAATCGGATTCCCTTGAGGATACGAACGACGTGTCTGTCTCATAAATTGTCAAATGCAGCTCTTACATCGCGCGGATAGAGGCACGTAAGCATTTCAAACGCATTCCAAGGCGGTGCGCACGTTCTTAATCGTGGCACAAGAGGCAAAGATGGACCTCGACCACAACGTGTTGGAGAACAGCGGGAAAAGAGACTACGAAAAGTAAACCGGAGTCATCCAAAGCGAACAATCTGCCGACGTCCTCTCATTCCTCGTTACAATTATTTTCGCCGATGATCCAATCCGACTGTCGCTTTCTCTCTCTCTTTCTCTCTCTCTCTCTCTCTCTCTCTCTCACACACCCGCGCGCGCACGCACGCACGCGCGCACACACACACACACACACACACAGTTAGCTACCTATGACATCTTTTTGTATACGTCTCTGTATACATATCAGTATATAACATTTAAACGGCGTATACGCATCATAATATATCGTTTCTTGTAGCTCTCAATTCGTTCAATTGTTATTACAAAGTAACGGCCACTTTTACGTTCGATAAAAGCGGTAGTACGAAAGTAAAGTAATGGTCGAAAATAACGGGTCGATCAGTCAATATATGTTGTGTATGTGTGTTTTATGTACGCGTGTATGTGTATTGTGTATCATGTACTTGCGTGAATGAATACGTATACTGGTACACGTTTATATCATATGCACTTAAACACATTGTTCTGAACACTGTGTACGCTCTTTCCTTCTTTCAAATTCATTCGTATATTCTACAGAGTATGTAAAAAAAAAACGTCCGTATATATGCGTCTGTATAATCCTCTTCAAGTAAAGTTTCCCGTATATCGGAAGTCAGCGAGGCGTGCACAGCTACATCCAGAAGAAAATAAAAAACAACACAGAAGCCATTCTTCATTTCGGTCGAAACATTTCGACGACTAGCGCGACTAATTGTAAGCTGAGAGATGATCCTCATGAAACTATCAGCGATATCTCATTCCTCATTTCCGATGTACAGAATATCCTTCGTTAATTAACCGTTAATTAACATTATATGCAAACATCTCTCTCTCTCTCTCTCTCTCTCTCTCTCTCTCTCTCTCTCTCTCTCTGCTGTCTCGCTTGTTTCATAATCGTAAAAAAAGGAAGAAAGAAAAGACTCGCGGTCAAACTCTTATCACAGTACATCGTATTACTGTAGTATAAAGCTCCGAATAAGGAGGCATAATTTTTTTCTTTTTTCATGCGAAACGAGCTTGGCACGTGCGCACTTTTATTTCCCGAGAGTACGCGCTGCACCAAGAAGGGAAGCTGGGAAGGCACAGTGTATGTACATGTACTATACGTATGTACAGCACCGAACGGCAATCGGAGATAATACACCCGGGACTCGTGGCACGTCAATCGCTTTCAATTTTAAAAATCGATCACGCGACTATTCGATTCAGTACAGGTCCCCTCGCGACATAGGACTCGCCATAGAACTTATGCTACTGTAGCAGCCACGATTCTTTCTCTCTCTTGAATTAAAATTAATACATCAATTAATAAATATCTTATTAAATAAAAATTAATTCATAATAT